CACCACATCACCTCCGACATATGAATTAATCGATCAAGACAAAGAACAAATCATAGGTAGGTTTTATCAAAATGAACTTCAAAAAACCGACTTTTAAAAATGAATGATGAAGAATTTGATAGAAGATTAAGAGATGTAGACAAGCATTTACTGTTTCTTAAATGCAAATTTTTGTTCAAAATATTATTGAATGTAATACAATTTTTTTTAAAAAAAACCGACTTTTAAAAATGAATGAATTTTCGATAAATATGGAACCGATACGACCACAAACTTTCAACTTATGAGATGGGCGAATGAGTTAAATATATCACCGTTTTATTATTGTATGAGAGATGAAATAAAAGATCTCAAATATAAGAAAGGTAAATTTTACACTATAACAAATATACATACTTCCGATCAAAAAGGAGTTCATCATTCTGCTTTGTACAAAGACTCTGACTTTTATTTCTTCGATTCTTATGGATTAGAACCCACTGAAGAGATAATCCAATTGACTAATAAACCAAACAAATGTTCAACATTTCAAATTCAATTACCGGGACAAAAGTTTTGTGGTCAGCTTTCACTTTGGGTTTTATATCAGTTGAGTTTAGGAAAACAATTCGAAGAAATTGTAATAAATTTAACTCAATAAAAATGGCGAATAAGTTTGGATTAGGTTCTTTATCTTTAGAAACTAAAAAATCTAACACAACAGCGTGGATAAATAAAGCAAAACCCTACTTCCTGGATCAAATCGGAGACACTCTTCAAGGTGATTTAGATATGAACAATTAGCATAACTAATTTAAAGTCTCCGGAAAACGATAATGATGCCATTCACAAGAAATATTTAATGGAACAATTAAATTTAATTGAAGTAAATAAAGAACATTTAAGAGAAAGAATAAGCGATGTGAAAAGATTCTTCAAGCGACAAATAAATAATAAAGATTATATTGATGATACTAAACTACAACAAGAAGTAACAAGTTTAAAAAATTTTATTCAACAACAATTAGCCAATGTAGTAGATAAAACTCAGTTACAAACTTTAGATGATAAGATTGCAAAACAAAAAATAGATCTTAAACAACTAATAGCCAATATTAATCCAGGTATAAGTGAAGACAAATTAACTGCATTAGAAAGTAAACTTAGTGATGATAGTGAAATACAAAAACAAATAGTCGCTATTCAACAACAATTAATCAATGTAGTAGATAAAACTCAGTTACAAACTTTAAATTCATTAATATCTAATTTAGATGATAAGATTACAAAGCAAAAAATAGAACTAATAGATAATATTAATCCAGGTATAAGTGAAGACAAATTGCAACGCGAATTAACTAAATTTAAAACTGAACTGAACTAAAAAGAACTAACAAATATTCAACAAAATATAGATGATAGTGTTATTCAACAACAGATAACCACTATTAATAACCTAGTTTTAAAACAGGATAAAAATATACTCGCATTAGAAAAAAAGTTTCTCAAGAAAGAATCATATTATTTCAATCTTCCATTTAGATTTTTGGGTATTCATAATCAGTAATCTATTACTGATAATATTGATAGATCAAAAGACTATGAATATAAAAAATATGGATTTACAGCAAATATAAGACTGCTCCAAATTATACTATTCTTCCCAAAAAAATTGTTGATGTTAATCCATATATCTTTAAATTTCGAGGAAAACTTACAATTGAAATAACATTTCCTATACAGGTAAAAGTTGATTCATTATTCTTCAGACAAGGTTATCTTTTATCTAATAAAAAATTTAACGCTAAAAAAGTTCTTCAGTTTATCAATGGTACAAAAAATGTAGAAAATAAAGAATTAGAAATTAACGACGAAAACACCAAGGTTAGTCAGCTTGATTACTTACATGAAATTAAATCGAGTGGAAAATATATAGATAGGTTTAGAATGTTAATAATACCAGATAATGAAGAAGATGAATTTTTATTGAGTGATTTTGATATGTTATTTGAGACTGAAACTCCACCATCAATGAATATTATTAGAAATCCAGAACCACAAAAAAAAGATGTAGGCGGTTATGAGTTTTTACAAGCAACAGACTTTGAATACGTAAAACTATATTTTGTTGATAATGATATATTTACCTTAGTCGATATTCATAAAAGTCAACAAAATCAAAGAGATGGTGTATATGTTAATATATCAATCTATATTGAAAAACCAAAATTTTCAGTTCATCTGAATAAGATTAATGATTCGAAAGAACAAATATCATTAGTAACTGTAAATGTTAATAGTAAATTAGCTTTATCAGAAATTCACTTAATTTAATTACCTAAAAATGGAACTCCAAAGTAGACAAAACTATATGATAGAAAAACAAAACGAACTAAAAGAAAAACTAAAACAATTCAACAAATGTAGAAAAGCATGGAGTAAAATCGATTCTGTTTTCAAAACATTAAGTACAGTTTTAACAATAGGGCACGGTGGCAACAGCTGTAACCGGTGGATTAATGCTTCCAATCATCGTCCCAACAGTATTAGCCTCGTTCACTGCCGTTCAAACTTCATCTTGTGGTTTGATTCCTTTAGGTTTTACATCAAAACAGAAAGCTTATTATAAAAGGAAAACAAAAATTTTAAATACATATCTTAATAAATTATTAATTTTTTTCGAAAGATCGAGAGAGGATAAGAACATAACCATTGAAGAATTAGAAGAATTCAATGAAATTTTAGATAAATTTGATATAGAAATATCATCAATAAAAGTTAAAATTCCTAGTTAAAAATAGTTGCTTTAAAAATAGTTGCTTTAAAAATATGAATAAATTTATATCACATAAACTTTTTTCCAATGTTATTGAGCAAGTCGTTGACGAATTTGTATCATTTAACGGAAAAATTGAATTAGATGGAAAGGTAACTCATGATGGAAAATACCTACAAGACATAAAATTTGTAGGTCCTGATCGCATGTCTTTTGTCGAATTCTTCATGTCGCTGGATGGTAATGCTAATTCGAATATTTCTTATTGGTATTTCACAGGAAAAATGATTTTCCATAAAAAGGCTAGTGGTAAATAAAGGTCATTATAATTTATTCTTTTTTTCGAGACAATAAAAATTCCTAGTTAAAAATAGTTGCTTTAAAAATATGAA